CCCATATATATACACACATACACACATTACTTTTATACTGCTTCCATCTTTATATAGAAAACAGCCACAGTAGTTCTTATTTGACCTTCCCGTTCGAAGTAAGAGGATGGCAAAGCTAAGTTCTGTCAGGGCTACACAGTACCTAGAGTTTATTCCAGTTACTTGCTACAAATCATCCATCTGAATTGCAGTAACCTCCAGAAAAGCAGGCATCAAAATAATGAATTAAACCTTTTACTTAATATAATACAGAACTCAAACCATTAGAGAAAACAAGTGCTTCTTCAGGTTTCTTATTTCTGTGAAGGGTCAAGTTTTACTGCTGCTGCCCCTTCCAAAAAAAAAAACCCACTATATTTTCTCTGTGCTTACAAACATAAGAACATGATAAGACAACAAGATAGCATATATGACTGTTAAGATATTACAACATTTGTATGGCTTAAACATTTCTAGAAGTTGTGATTTACCTGTCCTGAATGTTCTTCCTGACAATAAGGAAGTACGATTTAATAAGACGTTCAATCACTTCACAATCGCGTTGCTCACGGGCAGAAAGTTTGCGTGCAACAGGTACAGGCTATGTAAAAAAATAAAAACCTCAGTTTACCAATTCTGCTCATTTGCATAAGTAAATAAAACTCAGACTGTGGAGTTTAAAATAAACTATTGCTCTTTGAGTCTGATAGTTTGATAGGTGTAAACTGTCTTGCAATAAACCTCTAATTCTTCAGAAATAAAACCAGACATATGTCAAAATCCAGATCTGTGAAACAAAGGTCAGAGGGTACCACTACTAAATATTTTCATTTTTTTTTAAAAAAAACTCACTAAAGTTATCCCAAATCACAGGCTGAAACTGGAAGGGGAGAAAGATGAAGGACTGGGGAAGGAGGAAAGCAGAAGAGACTGGCTAGAGCTCCCTGTCCTTACAATAGTAAATATTTACAAAGATATTATATATTAGTAGAAAAAGTTACAAGATCTGGAATTCACATATTTTCTTTCCTGAACATGAACTACAAAGAGGAGGTATTTGTCTTTCATGACTCACCACATCTAGTAGGTTTACAGCATGTCCTTTTTGAGGACTAGCAGGTAGGGCTGCAGCTGGCTTCGATTTTTCCTCTGCTGATACCTCTTCTGCTTTTGAGGATTTCAGCATTCCTCTCCAGTTGCCTGTTCCAGGCTCCTGAGACGTATCTCCCACTCCAGGAGCAGCCTGCACAAACAGCACAATGAAGAAACATTGGGAAGTTAGAACTTGGGCACTGCAAAGCACTGTCTGATCAAACCTACTATTACCAAGCCATAGCTAAGAGATTTTCATATGTATATTCCTTTCATTCTATTCTTCACATTCCCCACCTCTGTCCTCCCTTTGCTCCGTACAGCTGACACAAAGTACCAGTAAAACAAAAGCTTTTAAAACTCGTATTCTTCCTAATAATGGTAGGAAAATGCCTTACAGAGAAGCTCTCCAGCATTTTAAGGGTCTATAAATCACTTTTGAAATATGGAATGGTCTTCCTAATTCATTTGGCTTTTACCACTTTTACTATACATCCTTGGAGCAATACAACCTATAGTATCAGGATCATTCTGAAAGTATGTTTGAAGACCATCACAGCTCTTGGAAGACTTCACTTTAAATTCTTTGGTATTTTATTTAAATATAAACTGAAGTTTCTTACAGCAACAGCTAAAAAATATGCACTTTTATGTTTCCCGGTACCAAAGCTACCAACGTATTTGTGCTGCCAGACCTCAATTTACAGTAGGTATTTTTCTGTACCAAATAGAAACAAAACAAAAATCTCCATCCTCTGGAAATGAAGATCAGAGCTTCTGGGAAGTTCCAGACAAAGAATCACTCACTGATCTCCTGAGAAAAAGACATAACACCCAACTCTAAAACATTAGGAATCACTGGACAAAAAACCCCATCAGTAGATGGTATCCACCACATGTTAAATTAGTATTGAAAAAAAAAAAAAAGACAGTTTATTGTGATGTGGAACAATGCTAATTTTAATTTTGTACCTTTCCATAAGCCTAGTATCCATCTAGTTACTACTGTGCTTCAAAATCTACTGTTGTTTGAAAAACATTCAAGGTCTTTCAAGGCTCTCAACTACTACTACTACTTATGTTTTGTTTCAGATACAGAAGGAAATAAGCTAAATTTACCTATTGTGTTTACAATTAAAACACCACAGGCTGATCTTGAGTCTAAAAAAAAAGAGTGAGAAACAAAGCACGGCAAATAGAATACCAACAGTTGCATACTAGGAGGACACCTAGTTAAACTGTGCGCACCAGAAAATTTAGTAAAATTGAACAACAGTTCAGAGGTGCTGTAAAAAATTGTAAAGAATTCAACCACTGCTAATAAAAGAGAACCACTGTTGAGGAAAGCTCCATTATATTGTTTCTGATTGCAAGACAGCTCTGCAAAATGGCAAAAATCCCCATGCCACTCTCACTCAGAATTACCGTGGAACCTGCTCTATCTCCAGAGTACCTTCAGAAACAAACCTGCATTCTTTTACAAGAGTGTTGAGTATGCCTCACCTAATAAAAGACAGGTTCTGTGGGAAACACAAATTAAACTTAATTTGGCAGCTTTCTGCAACTTCTTAAGTCAAAACCGTATCCTCACAGTAGCTCTTGATTTTTTTTTTTACATGTTTGCCGCATATCAGAACCTCTAAAACTCTGACGAAAATAACAGTTAAAATTCTACTACTGATTAGATTTTGACTTTAACTACTTTGTTCAGGACAGAAATGGCAGCTTTGCACTAGAAGCTGCGTGTACATATGCGTTGAAGCAAAAATCCTGAGTCCTCTTGGTACTCCTAATACACAAACTTGTGACTACTCACTTTTCTGACTCTAAGTGAAAGCAATTAGCAAAAAAGTCCTTACAGTAACAAGCCGTTATTTTAACATGAGAGACAGCACACCTAAAGCGTAAAAAAACCCACTGCAGAACACATTTCACAAATATAAGTAAACCAGGGATTGAACGATTATGTGAAACAACAAAAAGGAGGTTCTGTTTGAACAAAGCCTATAAAGATTCCCTGCAGGAAGCAGGAAACTCACATTTTTAGCTTATCTTCTGTCCTCCTTCTTTAACTGTCAACACATTAAAAACATGCAGTTTAACAACCATGCTGAACACTTTTGATTACAATACTGTTACACCAAACAATCCATTGACTACAGTTTGAGGCAAATTATGCTACATACTTGCACCACGATATCCTGCAAACAGGAGTTCCAACAGAAAGCAGGGATTTTGCCACCTAATGGCACATCTTTGTCTGTCACTGTACATGCTAAAATCAGTAATGCCGAGTAGTCTATACTCTGCAGGGCATACTGTGTCAGTGACAGAGCACTAAATACAAACTGCTTTCCATACCACCTTGCGGTGCACCACAACAGAACCGTGCATGCAGCGCTTATACGAAAAATCAAGACAGACCTTGCCATCAGCCTCTGCAGAAGCAGCAGTAACAGTCTCCTGGGAAGCAGGTGTCAATGCACCTGGAGCTTTAGTAGACTAAAAGAAGGTAAAAAATGCAGGGAGGGGGGAAAAAAAAAAATTTCAACTGAAGACCACCAAATCTACCTAGCAAGTTTCATACACTTTTACCTTCTAGCATCTTTAAAAATCCAGAAGAGAAAAGATTTTGAATTTGCAAGCAACACATATAGTAATATAAGCAGAACAGAAAAAAAAAAAAAAGCATTGCCAAGACAGTTAAGAGACTTTTGGCTTATCTGGCCTTCAATTTCATTTCAGCTTCTACAATGATGATATAAATACAGTCAAAAAGAAGGATCAAACAGCACTGCAGGCAATTTCTGGATAGCTGCCTTAAATTCCCAGTTCATCCATCAGCTGGCTTCTACTGATTAGAGGCAGTAATATTTAATGCATTCTGAGACTTTGTCTCACTTTTTAAGCTAACAAACTTAATGAACTAATTTCTACCAGCTGTACTAACTCCTGTTAAAATGTGTAAGGAGCTTACACTGTATTCTGTATATTTGGATTCTAAATACTTCACATAATATTAAATACTTAACTGTCTAAAATCCTAGCTGACTGTCAGACCATTCATGCCTACAGCAGGCAATGCTTTCCATGACACTTGGTTCTTCCACCCATGTACTTAATTGTCATTGAACTAAGCCCAAAACCTGGTAAAACTAAGCAAGCTCCAAAGACCAAATACATGACTGGATTATGAAGATCAACTGAAAATGTCGCTTCCACCATCTTCTCTCAAAGACAGACAGCAATAAATTGCAGTTTTAAGAGTGACTTAAAAAAAAAACAACAACCAAGTCACTATGTTGGCACACTGAGTATTTTAAATCACTTGTTTATCTTTTGAAGTTAGTGTGTCTCAGCCATAAATTTAAGCATGCAAGTTCTGACTCCAGCTTTAACATCTGCAGGCACTTTAAGCTTTACCTCAGATGACATTCAATTAATAAGTGTAATATTAATGTAAACTTATAGGCAAGTCTTCAGAAATCCCAGACTTAAAACTTGCCAAAAATTGCATCTTTGGAAGAAGAAAATGACATTCTACTTTACCTTATGAAATTGAAAGAAAAAAGTCAATACCTGGAAGCTCCCAAGACTGTTACTAGGGCAGTATATTGAAGTTTCCAATACTTAGATTAGATCAAAGGAGAATGCATTAAACTTTAAATAAATAAAAATCAACATTTACGTACCTTGTCTCGTGGCACAGCAGAAGGCAATTCCCGGGCTAACCTGTTACGCCTTTGTTCCTTTAAAAACAATCCAGCAAGACCTCAATTATGTATTACTCTGTATCAACACATACGCGAGATTTGTATTTTACAGATGACTTAGATTTTAGAGACAAACACTAGTAATTTCATCTCATCCAGTGTCATGTAGTCATACTATGATTCTATGAAAACCTCAATTATTTGGATAAAACTACTTTAATTACCTGGTCAAAAGTAAATTCTCAATATAAAAACTTTTACAAAGCTTTTTGCAACACGCTTCATAATCAAAACCAGAACTTTTAAAAAACGAGATGAAAGCTACAGTTTGGCATGGCATAGAAACCCTACAGCCCTCATTAAGCTTTACATCTTCAAAGTAATCTAAAAGGATTTGATTCTGGGACCAGCAAGGTTAACTATGATTAGCCCAAAAAGGAAGAAGGAGGCAGCAGCATCTACTTTATGGCAAAACAGAATTTGAAACAAAGATCTCATTTTTCTTGAAATTAAGAATTGATTGTCCACTGAATAAGCATAAGATGTTTTACGTGCTTTGGTTCTTCAAAAATGTCAGCGTCCTGTTCAGGAAAACGTTGGGAAAGAACTAGTTTAAGTAATGCACGATAACACAATAATCTTGTATGTTTGACTTCACAAAATCCTAATTGCTGTACTCACAGCAGTTTGCACACACATTGTTTCTGAACTAGATTGAAGAGCAGTCTACCAATGAAAATTCAACTGCATAGCCAGTCAATACAAAATTTATGTATTGAAGAAAGTAAAAGTGCAGAACTAAAGAGCAGAAGTTGTAACACAGGCATTTAAAAAAAGAACACTACTATGAAAGAATGTGTTGGATCATCAGGGGAACACAAGAACAGTAGCGAGCTCTTAGCCAGATGGATGAAGGACTGCAACAAAATCAGACTGCAGGAAAGAACTGAACTGATCAGTTGTAGAACAACTGCTTCTATAGGATGATGACAGCAATGAGTATTATCAATCAAAGTTGGGCTTGAAAAACAGAAAGACTACTGAAATTGTAAAAGGCAATCTCTCCTATAAGAAGACTGATGGAAAAAACTGTCTTAGAGAGACTGAAGCGTGGTAACCCAGACATCCAAGAACAGTGCCGAAAGGAAACAGAAATTAGAATCTGAATAGAGGAAACGATACTCTTATTATGCTTTCATGAATGAGAGAAATATTACAGCTATTGATACATTCTGTCAGAGACAAAATACAGTTACTACAACATTAAAGAGTATTTCACAACTAGCTTTTAAAGTTTCTCTTCCAAAAATTTCATTTAATAGCCAGTACTCAATTAGGTGTCTGTCTTATTTTCCAGACAGAAATACAGTCAGAATTGTTTTCAGTAAAATATCAACCACTGTTCCTGAATGCAATATGCAAGATAAATCTAACAAAACAACAGATGAAAAGATATACACCATGTTTGTAATATATCACATTTTTATACTTCAAAATGTAGAACTGTGCTTCAATGAAAGAAATTGAAGCATTTGTTCTTTATTTAGCCTCTCACTTAAAGTAGTCCAAAGACTTTTTAACATAATGTATTTTCTTACCTCTATGTTGTTGTTCATTAAACCACAGGCATCAGCAAAGTCTGGATGTTTGGTATTGATATAAGCTAACTCAATGGCCACTAAATTATGAACCTGTAATGAAATGTCATTCACAGTTCAAAAATTCAGTGAGTAAATCTAATGCTCCTGTAGAGCAATGACCTACAATGCTAGAAAGTGTAATCTAACAGCAAAAGACCATTCCTACTGCCCCAAAGACATTAAAGTTCTGATCCGGAAGGCAAGGAGGGAATTATTCAGTCCTTGCCATACATTCAGTCCTTCAGCCCTTTTGGATATTGCATCAGTTTAGCTTGTTAGCTTCATCAAGCTAACCCCTTTCCACCAATAAATACACAAAAGTCAGCAATTCAATGAGTGTAAGCTATATAGCAATGCAGTGAGCCATATAGTCAACCTTCAGCCACAAGATACATACATCTGAAACAGTGAGAGATGCCTCACTATGGGGGACAGAACAATTTTTGCTTTTCACATCAAACATATGCAGAGTCAATAACTGAAACACTTTCTTTCCTGCCCAATAAGCAGCCCAAAGCAGACTTTTATATGAAAACATATTTACTCAAAGCTAGAAGTTGAATTTTAAGTTCTCACTAGCTAAAGGGCACCACAAGCAAAACCAACATTTTGTGTTGATTTCATCTCCAAAACACACAGAATAAGGAGTACAATTTAATTTTTATCATTGCATCCCAAACCCTACAGTAAACGCGCAGCTTCTGTTTCAGGGGAGGGAAATATGCCTGTATCAGAAAGGCTAGGAGATGTTAAATCCAAGTTTTAGTAAAATTCTTCTTGAGAAATTGAAACATAGGGGGCAATGAGCTGAAGAGGGTTCCCCCCACTCCTTTGTTTTTTATGTCTCTATCTTCTAACATAGTAGAAGTTTCAAATAGTGTTTCAATATCTAGCTATTTAACAAATATAAAAGCTAAAATTCCTTTAATAGTTTGGGTTCCTGAAATTACAGAGCAAACAGAAGCGTCAAGAAACACTCCAAAAACCACACACTTTTCCCAGCAAAATTATAGTAGATGAAAAATTACCATTTCATTTGTGACCGGAAGTCTTCTACGCAGAAGACAGGTTACTACTTCAACTATGGCATCATGCAATTTAGGAAACCTTAGTAATTCCTAAAAACAAAAGAAAAATTTACTGATAGGACTGCCAGAATTTTTCTGGAAAGTGAGGAGAAAAAAAAGCCCAATAATTACAAACATAATTCTGAAACGTGTTTTTACCTGTGTACTGTAATTACTACAATGCTGGATAATCCGTTGCATTTCTTCATGAACAAGTTCCACACAGCGCAAGCTAGGCTCTTCTAAACGTTTGATTTGCCTTTTTACCAGCAATTCAAATGAAACCTCAGGAACAAACAAGGCAGGACGGGGACCCTAGTTCAGAAGGAGGGCAAAAGCTGCTAAATTGTTCATTAAAACAGCATTCACTTCTAAGAAGCAGTATCTGATGAAGCCCAGAATAAAGCAGGTCATAGCGTTCGCATCCAAAAGAACATTCAGAACAGGTCTTAAGAGTGAAAATACGTTACAAGACCATTTAGTCTATAAAACTTTCACATTTGAAGAAATTCAGAAGTTACCTTTAAGACAAACTCTGTGTTAAATAATGATTAACCAGCATCCTTATGGAATCTTGAAGATTTCTACCTACTAATGTCACTCTAGCCTTACAACTATGAACAATTCTTTCCACATTTGTGGCTCCAAGTTTAAATTTATTAAAGACAAAGACATTCTCTCCTTAACTCGAAAGAGAAAAGTTAACATTATTTATTTGACAGTCCTGGGCATACAATTGTTACTGCAAGGTAGCTGGGTTTTCTGTTAAGTATAATCATAATACAGTGTCACTGATACACAGTGTTTGAGATAATTTCAGTTATGACCACACAGACGAATGCTTAGCTATGCATAGAACATTTTTTACCTGAAATTTCTTTTTTTTTAATTAAATGAGCTTTAGAAAGATGTGATACACCACATGAAAACAAGACATCTCTCCTGTTACTAAATGCTGTTTTAGATTTTACATTTACAGAAGGATAAGAGCATGCACACAGATCACTGGCGCAGAGTACCTAACGCACTCCAAGTTCAAGTAATTACTGACCATACAGAAACCCGTCTGTCTCTCCACAACCAACAGAACACAGTACAAAAGCAGACTTCTATGTCTGACACCCAAAGTCAAGCTCTAAGAAGTGAACATTTTATATACTGCAAAATTCAAAAGTGAACTTACTCTGTTAATTCTTCGCCACACCAATTCCTATATTCTCAAGAAACCCAATCTGTCATGTAAACACTGAACTACTGAAGAGTTGTGTCCTTTATACAGAATAAAAATATCTGAACATGTCCTAGCCCATACATCTCAGCATGAGTCTTCACAACTAACAGAAGAGCTTAATGCAAAACACACACAGAGGCAGGCTTCCATCACCATGTCTGTAACATATAATAGCTTCAGTATAGGGTTGCCAAAGCTGGGCCTGAGATTTATTTCAGCCTGTAAATAACAGTAATGAGATGGAAGCATTCACCTTAAACTCACGCCATATTGGATAACGACTGCAAATTTGGATAAGGTATTTTTTCACTTAAAATACCAAAAGCAGGATTCAGCCTCTTCATATTAACTCATTCAGCTGAGATCATTAATTCACAGGACTGAAAGCGCACAAATTTGTTGAAACTTTATCTTTGAATCCAATATATAGTAACAACACTTAGAAATACAGAACACCACTCACAGTAGCGTTTCTAATGGCAGTCAGAATATCAATTGTGTTAAGGCCACCCAGGGGGTCAACAGATTCCAAAGTTCTTCCAAAGGTCTCATGAAAAATGTAACAGATCCTGGCTCCACCACATCTGAAAGAATACAGTAACAGCTGGAGTAGCAAACAAGAAAAAAGCTCTCATTGCAAACATTTTGTACTTGCATTCAAACACTTTTGAGTATGATATGCACTAGTAGTACTGTTGCCAATGAAAGCCAGTAAGAGCCACTGGGTCCATCTAATGGCCCAGTCAATATGCTAGAAAACCATTTGGTACTTACAGCTCTGAAGTCTCTATGTATTTTGCTGTTCCTTCAATAGTATTACAATATTCTGTGGCAAATTTGGTAATAAGTTGCAATAAAGTGGCACTTTTGTCCTCAACAGGTTCCCCGTAGCTATTTAGTAGAGACTGGTACTGAGCAGCTAAAACATTGATTCTGGTTTTCAGTTCTGGCAAGCAATCCCTGATGTGATGCATCAGTAGTCTAAAAATAGAAAACAGTCCCTTCATTAGAAAGGAAGAAAAGTTCTAGCTCTATCATTTTCATCAAAACAGAGAAGAGACAGAAAATAATCACCAAAAGAAAACATTTATTCAGGAAAATTACAGTAAATTCAGAAACTGAATTCAGAACCAAACAGTTTTCCTTAATGCATCACTGTACAGCAGCTAAAGACAAAGGAATGTGTAAACATTTATTTTTACCGTATTTCTAACACACCGATTCATATCTTAAGGTACCTTTAAAAGCACACATTTATTTTATTTTACATAATATGCACTACCTGTTCAGTGTTCTAGCAAGATACTTGGTTCCATTTCGATTTGCTAGGGAAGGGTACTTTTTTTGAAGAAAACCATATTCATCACGAATGGAATCAGCTACACTCTTCTTATTATTAATATCCAACTGACTCCTAAAGGTAAAAGGCAGAGTTACACATGAGTTAACAGATGAAAAGTAAAAATAATTTACACTTCTGTTTTTCTGGACAGCACGTCTGAACAGCTAGTTTTTGCTTTACACACATAACTCATCTTCCGTACTATAGCCATATGTAGTTAACACTAATACATACAAGATCTGCACTGGATCAGTGTTAATGTGAACAGCTGACCAGAAGCATCTCTCAAGTTACGCAATAAAGGGTTTTATTTTTTGTTTCACGCAGCACAGTCAACAAATCAGTATGGGTAGCAGCTATACGCAGTTTAAGCAACATTTTATCAAAATTGTATGATATTTGACCTAGCTAATGCAAAAATACAAAGTGAACAGTACTATAGCCATATGTAGTTAACACTAATACATACAACAAGATCTGCACTGGATCAGTGTTTATGTGAACAGCTGACCAGAAGCATCTCTCAAGCTAAAAAAACAATAGCTGAAAGAAGTGACACTACAGTTTTTCTCCTAAAAGAAATGTCCCTTCTCCTTCTTAAATTAACAGTTGGTTGAGTGGAAGAAGAACAGACAAGCTTTTGGAAAGTGAGCAACAAGCTTCTCACTTGCTTATTCAGCAGTTCATTTCAACATCAAGTCACCTTATTCTTCAAATCACATTGATGGTTAAAAAGCCAAAAGCATGACTTCGTATTAACACAGTTTTACGAATAACATCAACATGCCCAGACAGACCTGTTCACTACTCCAATGATGCCCAGTTTGACTGGAATCACTCTTCCCATAAGCACATCCATAGCATCAGTGCCAGCATCCATGAGATCCAGCTTTGTGATAACAGCAAGCGTCCTTCGACCTACCAAAACAAAAACTCACTCACAGGGATGTTTCGTCTTGATCAGGGTAGCCAAAACTCATCATTCGATAAATTCCTCATATAGCTGCATAAAGTTTAATACTGCAAACCAGCAAAGACTAGCTCAAGAAGACGTGGTGTTACTCTATCTGGAGCCCCTTATTAACAGGAGTGTAAGTATCTGGCAGATACTGCTCCCCACACAGATCTGGTTGAAGAAAAAGGTTTAAGCGTCATGCAGTTTGAAATCAGTCATCACTGATTATAACAAAATTTTTGCATGCTACATGATGTTAGAGGCATTACTAAGCATTTGTAGAGACGACTAAGTAAGGCAGGCAGAGGACTCACAAATTTGAGTGGACTGAACATATTTCTAGCATATATGTAGGACCAGAGGTAATGGCAATCTGTTTGGAACTATATTTGAAATACTACTACCCACTGGATAAGCTGCTACAGGAGGCAACAGGCCCACTTCCAGCATCGTGCATCAAGTACTAGCTGAAAGCCCCAAGAGACTCAATAGCTTGAAATCCACCCACTGAAGAAGCATTAGGAGACTTAGTTTTGCTAACGAAACAGATTTTTATTGAATATGTGACTGAATGTTTTTCTGATTAAAACTAAACTTCATATAAACTTCATATTCCTCACCATGGAGGAAAACGAAACCTAAATTCATGAAATAGGTAAATATTGCACATCTAAACAGGGAGGCTAACATGCACTGGATTTACCTGGGACCTTAATGTTTCCTGAGCTCTTGAGTGTGAAGAAAAAAAGTGGCAAGAATTTTTTCCTTAAAATATAACACGCTTTACAAGTCTAAAAATAAACCAGTACCTCAGCAAAATCAGTAGGTTCTTGGGTCCTGAAGCTTTCAGATGAATGCAAGTCAGAGTCTACATACTTTAGTACTTCAATTTCTCATTACATACCATTACTCCTACAGAACATGCAACATGAGCTGGCACTCCAGCTTTAAGATATAGAATTTTGGAAACTGATCCAAAAAATTACAGCTCATCATTTTTACAAAGGTAAATTAAAAGGAAAGCATCTGCTGCCTTGAACCAGGACAATCTGACTAAGACGACTGCCAGAAAAAGAGGTTCTCCCTCAAGGTTACGTGGCTGTGGGACTCAGAAAGGCTTAACCAGACAGGCCAAAGCAGACTTGGGAGTTTGAAAACAAGCAAGAAGTGTTATGCTCTATGGGAAGAAAAAATTGAGGGTAAATCATACATACCAACACCAAATTTTAGCGTAATTTCAGTATACCTATGTTTAAAGTATACTTTTCCATATTCTTTCAAATTACACAGTGCCATTTATTAGTCAACGGTACCGAGAGCACTTTCTACACACAAGAAGCAGGTACCCAGTAGCTCCAGATCTGTTCAAAGTCATTAGGTAAATATAAAACGATAATCCTCTTTTCAGATTAAATCAAATCAGTCAGTTCTGTCACAGACACAGTGCACCAAAATGGATACTGACAGTATATATTTTTATTCTTACTAGAAGTCACTACACTAACAGCTAGACAGTCAGTTCCCAGCTGCAGGACAGCAGATTTTCTCTACTAAAAGAAACAACATTGGACAATAAAGCATGGAGTCATCCTATCAGACCACTGTGAACTCTAAAAACCTCAAAACTCCCAACATTCTGTAATGCTATTTTGCTGCTCTGGAAACAGAAGTGGCTCCTATGACTACTAAAATAGTTATCTGGCCTGTTCGTAACCTTGTTAGGTATTACTTCATCACAGAATTCTCCGAGTTGCAGAGACTGCAGCGGGAAGTCTTTATGCAAATAATAATTGTATTTTCTAGGAAATGCAGTGACATTTGATCTTCTTAGGACTTTTTGCCCAAACGACTTCAGTATTATTTTAGGATTTAATTTAAAGTTAAGCAAGTTTTTCTTGCTGCTTACCATCTGGATCCACCTCCCGCGCAATTTTAAGTGCTTCTGAAGTGGCCATGTCTGTGTTAGCAGCTGTGACTGCTAGAATAATTGAATTTGGGTTGCTGATGAATTGAAGGATTAGCTCTCTTATTTGAAGTTCAATGTCCTTAGGCTGATCACCAACAGGCACCTAGAGAAAAAACAACACAGAACTGTTCAAAATTGTATATTTATGTCTGTGTGAGATGACTCATTCAAAGTTCATACCCTAGACCACGGTATAAGAAAGTTTTCCAGCTCTTTCCTTCCCCCTTCACAAAAAAACGTGAAAGAAAAGGAAGATCTTGAAAGGTATAAAAGTCAAAAACACTCTTACAGAAATAAGAATCAATGAAAATTATTTGATGCTGCTGTCAAGAAGACTCGGTATCCAAGAACCACCTGCACAACTGGCAGAGTGAGGTATGTATGTGTGCATAGGCAGGGACAGAAGTCATCTTGTCATCTTCATGCCATAGAAAATTATTCAGTATAAAACCTGAACAAATAGGACCTGAACATTTCTTCTAGTATATCCTCACTAACAACTTCTTACACAAAATATGCATACCAATTTCCGAAGAAGCAATAGGGAAAACCTTTTCAAACTTGTCAACTACCCATCTATCTGCAGATACATTTCTGAAACTTCAAGTGCTACCTCTTCTATTAAAAAGAACATGCAGCCCACACAACGCTTCCAATCCTCCGGCTGTACACAGAAAGAGTGAGAGCATAAGTAGATCTGCCTCTCACAACAGTGAAGAGCGCCAGAAACCCAAATCTTACACCAGAAGATACTGACATGTCCAATTTATATAACCAACTACTTAACCTGAGGAAAGCTCTTTATCTAACAATACAGAGTAATGCCAAAGAGTGAACACACACTTCTTGTTTCAAAAAACATTGTTCACAGTAAGCCAGAAGAGGAGCATTCTGCATCTTACCTTTGTCATTCCAGGTAGATCCACAAGAGTCAGATTTACAACATTAGATGAAAAAATCTTAAGATGAATAGGTTCAGGACTGATCCCCTAGAAATATATTAAGAATAAAACTTAATCACTATACTGGATTATTTAAATGCACCCTTTAGAAAGCCAAAAGCTGTAGTTTTCATACTAGAAAAAACATTCTTGCATCATACACCTTAAAACTACTTTGTGAGGAAAAAAAGCCAGCCACATCTGTCAACCAATTCCTTTGTCTTTGGTAGGAGCCCTGTTTTCCCCCTCAATATAATGCATAAAAGCTTTTATATTTCAGTAATCATATAGATATGCAAGAATAGAATATATATTTTATAATTACATATAAAGCCATGTATGTGGAAAAATGGAAACAAGTTTAACTCAAAAGTTTATTTTTGCACTATTATTATGGAAGCTTTGAAGTAAAGCAACAGCAACAGCATTTCTCTGCATTTTCTTTTAGCTGAAGTCATTTATCTCACGAACACGGTGAAAAAAATCTCAAGACAGCAAGCAACATTACTGTGTTCATTAGAATAGTTCAATGCTTTTCACTTCTAGATGCCAAAACTGTTTAAGAAAGGTTTAAGCAGCAAGAGAATCTATAGCAAGACAAAGATAGACAATGCAACATTTACCTTATTATTTCCTGAAATCCTCTCTGTTTCATTTTCTATTTCCTGACGAATTTCATCAAAATCTGTATAGATCTGAAGTATGGAAGAAAAAATTGTTTAAAAAAAAAAAAATCAAAGACAGCATACACTTACCTAATCACAACATAATGCTCTCTTCTCCAAGAGACAGTGAAAAACTCTGTAACTAAGTATACAGAAGATGAGAAAAAAATAAGAATGACTATTAGCCCTTAAGCTAATACTAAGAGCCATAATCAGTGCTAAAAATTAAATACCAAGATTCCAATTTCTGTAATCTGTTGATTAATACTGTGAGATGGCAGTTATTATCACTTATTACGCCATCGATGTTAGACAAGGTATAAAATAGCATTCACCTAAAGAGAATTTTAAACACTTAATTCCATTTCTTATCTAGTTGCAATTCTTTGAAGTTAATAAACAACATGTAGTGTGAATCCCTTCCCATCTCGAAGGAGCCAAAAAACAAGGACAGAGTTTCGTTTCAAAATTTTTCCGCTCTTGTCAAATCTGTTCTCCTTCCACCAATCCAAAATAACTTAGCACAGAGTTACCCTTGCACAGGTTCCCTCTGCATTCCTCTCTAGATTTCCTTCAATTTCTAGCACTGCCTAGAAGGTAAGGAAATAAGTTTAAAATAATAAACACTGAAATAATTAATCTGCCAACAAAAAGATGACTGTGTTCAAGCGAAAAATTAAGCTTTGACTCTCTTATTGAAGTCCTAGGTCATCTCAGTTTCTGCTTCTCCACCCTGATGAGCATTAGACTCTTCCTTTCCACAGCTTTCCAATAGATCTCTGAGGTAACCAATTCTTCAGTGGACTGAAATGACTTCTGATTATATACTTGTTTTTCTTTGCAATTTCCATTCTAATTTCGCCAATGAACAAAAAAGAAAAATCCACAAAATAACACAAAAAGAATTAAGATAACTCAGCAGAATAAACGATCCACATAACAGACAACCATTGATAAGCTTTCTGTCTTGAGTTTAAAAGACATACCTTATTTTTGGTGTGAAGAAATTTACCCCACTCTTCAGCATCTATCTCTGAAAGCAAACAATTGATACATCAGGAAGAGGAAGCAGATGTTTCAATGACATTTTTCCAATAACCTGTTTGCTGAAAACCACAATGTGATTTTTTTTTAAGCAGCAAAAGAAAAATTAGCCTATCTACTTAGATGTTAAATAGCTCAGTACAAATAAATTTATGATTCTGCTTATGATTCTGCTCATTTAAACACTGCATGTCATTACTCTCTTTAATTTGTCTCTTACACAAGGTCCACCTTCTTAATTGGGACTGAGCCAACCAGCTATTCTACCATTTTTCAGAAATTAAATACCAGCTTGCAACAGAAAAGATTAGCAATAGCTTAAAAAATCTGAAAAAAATACCAGCTTTTAGCATTTTTTCTTTTACCATGCAAGTGAGATCAAATTACAGCTGAAAGAAAAAGTTAGAAAACCCTGTAGAACCAAAATCAAGCAAACAGAAAATATGTAAGAATTCTGCATAACAATGAAGTCTTAGAAGAACATGTCTCTTCCCAAATCTGTCAAGGACCAAACATCTTAACTCTCCTCAGTCACCACCGATGTCTGGAATTACTTGGGGGCTATTCAAGAGCAGTCCCAGAAACAGCAAAGGAGGTTTTTGTCAATTCCTTCTCCGTAGAACAGGCAGCAGTTTGAGTGACACTGCAAGATACTCACACTTCCACAACTAGGTTTCCAAGCACTAGTGATTAAGTTTCATTTCCAATTTTTAGTATGTGGTCATTTCCCCTCTGCTCCTGGACATTGCAATGTGCTTTAGAAAAACAGTCTACAAGAAATCCGGCCATTTGGCAAACACGCTGCTCACCTACAATCACGTCATCTTTAAAAACATTTTTTTCAACTCATGTGGAATTTCAAGATACTGATCAATAGAGATTTTTAAAGGATTTGGGAATTAAAAGTGCAGGAAACTCTATGAAGTAGCAATGGCACAGAAAAAAAAAAAGCAAAAAATCATCTCATTCTAATGCAACAAGGTCAGAAAACTAAAAAAAAGAAACCAGATCACAAGACGCAGCAAAATAATCAACACAGTAGCTAAAGTGTAAAAGTAAAAGTGTAATCAACAATAAAGTGGCATGAAACGTATGTGATTAGTGTATATAAGCATGCATGTTATGCAAGGGAGAAAAAGCAACTGGATAAAGGCAACCTTTAGAAAGGTGTCTTGGATTTTTCCATGTAGCAGGGTCTGCAGTTAAAGAGAAACAGCATTGAATGATGTTTACAATTTTTAATGATATTTAATATAGCATTTTATTAACTTTCTGTAGCAGATAGTATTAGAAAGATCACAAATGCATGCAGACAGATGTGCATGCTATTCTATTGATGAGAACGTGAAACATTAACAATATGCACAGAAATAGGATCTTAACTAAACACTGATAAATGATGCATATTAATCACATTCTATACAACAAAGTATACTTGATGATGACTTTATCATTGCTGTTCATCTAATTCCAACAACTCACGATATTTTGATCTGAACACAGAAAACAGCACCATCAGGTTCCACAAAGCTGAATTTCTTTGGCAAAATATGGCTCTCATCAGGTACTCATGGCAAGAACGAGTGAGGAAACATTTTTAATGTCACTGCAAGTAATATTATCGTATGGGAAAGAAATCTGAAGTTTGCATCAATCCCTCTAATGGTCAATTAAAAAAACAATTATAGCAGTTCTGAGACAGATTTAAGAAGAGACAACATTAGCTATCACCCTTCTCAACTTTCAATTTTCTCAAAATACTTAGGGAAATCCCAATATAAAGACACTTTTTATTGAAGGGTTGATGAGTTTACACTCTCTATTTTTATGTTATACCAATACAGCATCATGGAAGGGCAAGAATCAAAACAAACTGGTGAAGATGTTTTTTGCACATGCCTGTTTGGCACAAAATATAAGCAGCACAGCAACAATCAATTCATCAGTTTGGAAAGCCTAGTACATGTGGGAGTTATTTTAATGTCTTGCTCAAGTGAATAAGTCAAAGGTTAATCATCAGTGGAAATACACTGATTTAGATGGGCTAGATTCATAAAGGAAAAACAATTTAAGACCAAACTACTTTTATCCTTACTGTTCTGCAGGCACACAAGCTTTGAAGAAACCACTGTTAGGAGGCAGATTTTGTTTGTCTTGGTTGGTAAACAGGCAAAATTACACACCAGTCTCCAAAATAAGTGCAAAATGATTGGGCTTATTAATTCCAGGCTACTAAACAGGTTTTGTTTATTTATAGTTCAGAGGAAATAAAGCAAAATGCACATGCAGGAAGAAACTATAGTATCTTCAAGGTGGTATTGCTCATCCCCTCTTAAAAATTGCATCTAAGACAGTAAAGACAGGAATAAAGCCGGAAAGAAAAAGATACAACAAGATGCTGCCACCATCACATTTGAAAGACATGGACCAAGCACTCTCTTGGTATGTCCCTCCTAGGGAGATGATGTCCTCCTAGGACAAACTGGTTTAGTCTTAAATTACTGGTTTTGTGGTGGCATAGGCATTTGCAGCTAGGTACTAAGCTTAGTTCTACATATAAAGAAGTATTTTGGTTTAGTATAATCTATTAACTTTTTAAAATACGTGTTAAAAAAGATGCATTCTAGTCAGAGGCATTGCATTTTAACTTGATAACGTGTATGAATCAAAGGAGAATGAACATTTTTTAAGCTTTAACAAGTCCCAAGTTTTAGCTGCTATATATAACACAAGAGAAGACTGAAGCCACAATAAACGGCTTAGTCTTAACCTCAGCCTTGGTGCAAACAAAAAATAAAAGAAGAAGAAAGTTAAGGAATAAGTGTAGTCTCCTGAGATGTACCAAAAAATCTCATTTAGTCCGAGTAAAAATTTTCAGAAATTTACTTTTATACAGAAGGGAAACTCTTCCCCCACTCTTCTGAGGAAGTCTATATTGACACCCCTTTAATATTTAAGAAAAAACTTCCCAACAGCTCTAATGTAATGCAAAGGAGTTTTTAGGAAAGGAGGAAGAATTTGCATTACTCAAAATGCAAGGATGCTCAAGGCAAGGAGAAAATATTTTAATTAGTCTACATTCTACAGCCCAATGTTCTGGTTTACATGTAGAATTTTTTTTTTATTCAGGAGTTTCACTGGTAAATCAGTCTTCCCTCAGTCATGTTACTTTCTGCAAGCTTTCCAGGCAAAACTTTCAGTTGAATTAACCACCTGATTGCATTCAGGATACAACGCTAGATAAAAGTGTGCAGAAGTGACATTTTGGTCATTATAAAGTTAAGTATTACAGATTATAAGAAATTATTAAAACAGCAGCTATGAAGAACAAACAGATGCTGCCTTTCAAAAAAAAAAAAAAAGTGTCTCCTGAATAAAGCAACAGCCTGTTTGCTTTTCTGAGCGAGACCTGAAAACTTTAATTAATATACTGGAAAACTAGACATGATTATGGCATTTTTCTCACGACTGCCCTCCACCAAATTGTTACTTGTTATCTCCTATTCTGCAATGCTGCTTTAAGAAGCTCAAATACAGTACAGGGCTAACTGACTTCGGTTATTCATGTATCTCTTCTCTCTTCCTAAAGTAGGAGAAACATTTTTCATACACAACAAGAGCACAAAGAAGCTGCTCAGAGTCATAAAAGGCTACCACTATAGAGGATTTCTTGCAAAATGGCAATGAGAACCTTCGAAATACTAAAACGGACAAAAAGCAGTGAAGCATGAAAAACCTCACCTGTTTCCTAGCTTTCTAGTTACCATATCTTCGCAGCTCTTGGACCCAGCAGACTACCATCTGAACTCTCTTTTTTCCCCCCATCACCTCATCCTTTCCTATCATTCCTTCTCTAAATAAATAAAAAAAAAAAATCCAACTTATGAAAAAAACGTGCTCATCTCCCAATCCCTTCTGTATGTTGTACCATTTCTTCCATCCTTGACGCAAACTAAATGGCAAGTTCTTTTGAGTGAAAGCTCTTTTTCTCTTGTGCTTCTACAAAGCTAAGTACAATGAAGCAGTCAACACTCTTTGGGAGCTAGAGGTAAGGGATTCGAAGGTAATTCTCTTCGAAGTAGAGAGCAACAAGCTGACAAAAGTGTTGATTTAGCAAGTAACTGATCTGTAATAATTATTCCTATGTTCCATATCAATTCTATCTGTTCAGAATTTAAATAATGTTTGGCTTCCTATCTTGGCCAAAAAGAAGAATCTATAAACATTTACTAACTCACCATTCATATGTTCCCTCCTTTTTTCCATTTCCTAACAAATGGATAAGCTACCAGAATGGGTCTTAGCTACAAGATCAAATTAATAATTCACGAGGCCCAGTTCTCTCGCAAACGCTGCTTCTCTTGCAATTTGATAAGAGAACACCACAGTGTGGTATCACCACACCAAACACACCATACGTGCTGAATCACTACAAGCTAACAATAAACAGCAAAAGCATAATGAGAACATTTCCTGCACACCAAACCACACACGTCTCTGTAGAATATATGTACCAATCTGAAATATCATGTAAGGAAAACACAGCACTTCATATTATGGGAAATTCATCTCTCTGCTATTTTTTTACTAACTTGATTTATTGCAGTGACCACTGCTACAAAGGTATCACATAGCTCATCAGAGGAACAGCACAGACAATCTGTAATGTCTCATGTCAGAAAATCAGGAGTTCAAATGTCTGGCTGCAATTCCTTCTCAACAATCTTTCCCAAAGTGCTCCCAAGAATCAGATAAAAAAAAAAAAATCAGAAAAAAAAAAAAGCACAACAAAACTCAAACCCAAAAAGCCCCCAAACCAACCAACCACTAAATTGATATGAATTGATATTCTTTGACAGCTCACGTGCACCAGATGTCAAAATTAAGCTATTGCAGAGACATAATTTCCTCCTTCATAGTCATAAAGACAAGGCAATTGTCCATGCTTAGATGAACACCACAGCAATCTCAAGTGCTTTGTGTTAAAAACAGGGAAGCTTTCTGGATGCAAATGCTCAGCCTGTAAGAACCACAGAGGAGTACGACTTTTAAATGGATGTATTTATATGTAATACTAGTACATGTCTAGAGTAAGCATTAGGATGAGTAAAGGTGACAAATCACAAACAGGCAGTTGCATAAACGTGCCTGTGCACACAGGGAGTTCATCACCAGCACTTTCAGAAAGCAGCGTGCCGAGATTGATATTCTCTTGTCCAATATTCGATTGGTAAAGAAGAAACCTCTCATCTGGAGAAAATCCTTTTCTGCAAGACTATGGATAGGTTTCCTTCTGGGAAATCCCAAACACACATTCAACCCTCACCTCAAAACAAACAAAAATTGGACCCATAATAGTATAATGACGTATTACAATGTCAGACAGCAGAGCCAGGATAAGAGGTTGCCATCTTTTTTCTTTCCAAGCTACTTGGTCCCATCTTCTTGGATGTAACACCACAATCTGTACATATGCTAAACTAGATCAGTGACAAAACCATTTAGACCACCATTTGGCTGAATTTTGGAGGAAGGGAGGCATTTCAAATCCAACTGGTAAGTCACAAAGGTTTGTCTGTTCTTACCAAACAAGCCCACATCTCTCGAGCATCAAGAAGAGATTCTAACATGTACGTCTTACATAATAATTGTTTTTCCCCGAAGATCTAAATGGGTCTTATAAAGATCAATTTAGCCCAACATCCTTATGCAATAATAACATTATCCCATTTTAAATTTAAAGTATGAATCCCCAGATCAAATGCAACCTACAACAGAACGGCTCTGCCTTGATCAGAATACTCTCATTACAAAACCATCTTTTATACCTGCAAAGTTGTAGGATAAAATACGATTTTGTTCTGCTCTGCGACTCAGAATCAAAGCATTCCGAAAAGTACTAGAAACCATAGACTGCACAATGCAAGTAACATAAAACCACATTTAAAGAGATTAAATGTGCCATTTCTAAAAGGTTGCCCAGAGGCTCTCTGAATTCTCTACCTACCCTTGGAGACTCAACTGGATAAAGCCCTGAGCAACCCAGTCTTGAGTTCAAAGTTGGCCTCTTTTTTGAGGAGGTTGGACTAGAGACCTCCTGAGATCATTTCCAAGCTGAATTATCCTACAATCTTTCACAATCCAACACACTCTGGATTGCACGTTAAAAGCTCTTAATTGTTATGAACCCGAATTGTGTTCTCTGCTTGCGGCAATACAGAAAACTGGAGCGTAAACCTTTTAAACTGCATGGTATTAGTAAATGTTCTTCAAAAACCAAAGGCTGTAAATATTACATGAAAACAAATACTTTAAAAAACTTCTGATACCTTGACCTACTACTGCTAGAAATAAATTCCAGAACATCTGAACACAATAAGAATTAACAATTATAGCCCCAAGTTTATCACGCCATCAAAGCCTGTGTACTTTTTACTGTTTACATGAAAAAGTTACGATTTATCTTAGGATCAGAAGGTGGATATGCCCCTGTTGCTCTTCCATGAGATCAAGGGCACTAGCTAGCATAGAAGCAGTATTTAAACTCCCAAGGGACAACTGAGATTACCTTCTTGATCTGCTAAGGATAATATAGAAACACTACAAAAGACACAAGCTTCAAACTAGACAGCTTCAGAACATTTAAAGTGTTGCTCTTCATGCACTTGGCATCTCTCAGTGCAGCCCTGTAAGGTATCATCTGTAAGCTACAGAACATGCCCATTAAATTCTGTTTGCATCTACCACAAGTTTGTTTTAATTACTCCTTCTTCCACTCTATTCAGAACATATCTATTTCCTGACCTCCTTCTAAAAAGTCACATATTCATCATCTTAAGGAAAATCCTTATTTATACAGTAAAAGAGAAGGGGAAGAAAAACACACAAGAAAAATCCATGTTCTCTATACAATCACTATCATAACTGTAATGCTTTCTTTGGCCTGCTTTTCTCAAAAGCATTTTCTAAGAACAATAGGAGAGCTTAAAAAACATTAAGATATTTTGAATATCCAAAAGATTTTAACTTCATGACATTAGCTAAATAGACAGAACAGATGTGACAACAGCTGTGTTTTCTTCTAAAATAAATTTTTAAAAGCATAGCCAAGTTTTAAGATTACAACAACCGATTTTTCAGTCAGATGAACAAGAAAGATTAAAAGTCTTTCCCACTAGGCAAAAGACACTCTTGGATCACACTTACCATTTTCATCTCCAGATGTCTTCCGACCATCCTCTGGGGAAACATGCACCAGTTGCAGAATAAGGGGTCTCCGGGTGACAACTCCAGTACCTCGTGGGAGCAGATCCCTCCCCACAAGACTTTCCAACACAGAACTCTTTCCACTGCTCTGAAAATTGGAATAGAGCTACATGATTTTCTTGAACATCAAAACGCTGTAATATTTTAGGTTTAGCTTGCTTTCATCACTCCTGAAAACCATGTTCTGCTCTGTCCACTGCTATACAGTGACTGAAGGAGGATGTGGTAGACTCACTGAACCCAACGTAGTGGTATCATACTGCATAGACACTAAAGGACACAGGTCTGCTATAAACCAGTAACCGTTTAAACCTGCTTGGGACACTTAAAAGCCACATAGATGTATTTTTTCTCTTAAGGCTGAAATAAACATGTAATAGGTTTCAGAAAAATTAATATCTTATTTAACATCTTCTACTTCAAATATTAATCTATCCAGAAACATTTTTGGAAAAGAAGAAATTACTGCTCTTTATAACGCTCAGAAGGAAATTTTGTGTCTTCTACCACGTCATTTTCTAACATCTTGCAGTAACACTTCACTCTGTAGACTACGGAATTTAACCTTCTGTTAGTTACAGGTCACACTATACCTGGACCTGTAAACAGGACCACTATACAAGAAGATATTAAGTATGTATACTTGAGTACATCAAACTATTACAATCTTATATTTCTTTCAGTTTGTTGTTTTTTTTTTAAATGTATTATATCAGCTTTATAAGTGCAGATATTGTTTTATACCCTAAATATGTAAACATTGTGTTCTACTATCTCTTCAACTCTGTGTGTGTGTGTACATAGACATAAATTATTTACTACTGAATTGACTGCAAGTATCTGTCTACAAAATAACAAACTGCAGTAAGTTTTGAAATACTTAAAGGCTGTGAAATTACAAATTTGCTTTGAGAGTCTACATTTAAAATGTTCTCCTGTAGCACTTTTTTTATAAAATGCAGAATTAGGCTACACAGTCAAATAAGCAGCTGAGAACACATGTGTTTTAAGACTGATTCAAGACTACTACCATGTTAAAACCAAAAGTAAACAATAGAACCAGATACATCAACGTAATACTTTCAAAGTCTGACTGATAAGATTTAGTCTTTTTAATGGAACTGTATTAAAATCTTCCCGTTTTCTCCAGCTGGAAAGTCAATGTAAGCATACCATGAGAAAACCTGCATCACTGCATCAGCTAGGAAAAAAATAAACAGCCTGGAATCACTGCCTCAGCTAGGCAATCTTTCTATAATAATGTTACTATCAAACAAAACAACAACAACAAAAAAAAAGACCAAAACAAAACAAAAAAAAGACCAAAACAAAACAAAAAAAGATCCACACCAAAACAAACAACACAAAAAAATCCAAAACAAAAAAACGCACCCAACAGATGCATCTGACAACTAGAACATGCATTACTGCTACACAACCTCAATTCAGCTCATCAGTTCTGAAAGAACAGATTCAAGACTTCAAGTAAATAATAAAAAGAGTACATAACCCAGCATAACACGAAATAAAAGCAGTGTTGAACCTTTTAAACATCATACCTTTAGTGACATCTTAGGTGATTTTTCTAAAAATGAAAATTATATCAGTAGAGATCAAGCAACACAGCACTATGAGACAGCACATTTCCACTAGTGTAGTGAAACAAGACAGGAACATACTACAAGAGAGCATTTTAACCTGTTAAAACAGGACTTTAATGCAGAAACACAAAGTAAATATTAAAATACACGGTCAAGCTTCAAGAAAGCTTGACAAAAAATGAAAGCCTTCTTTTCTTCTAACACTTTACTTTCCAGTTACGCTTTATGGCACAGAAAAATGCTGCTTTATCAAATGTCATTAGTCTCAATAGATGAATAACAAACCAATGCAGATTGTGTATATTTTTTAAAAGTTAACCTAAATCAAATTTGACAGCAGTGAGGTCAACTGTCTAGAAAAAGGAGCGAGAAGCAGAGGGTCACAGTTAACAGAAAGATAGCCTTATTACAATTTTTTGCTTCAAAAGACTCCCCTAGAAAGTAATTAACAATTTTCTTCTTCAACTGACCTTCTCCAATCAACTCTGGGCACATTCCATGCAAAGAGTTCATGACAAGACATGGGGCACTGAAATCTTACCAAAGAGTAACTGAAGGACAATCTGGCCAAAGCATGAACTAGTTCTGGAAGCCTGCCTGAGAGAGCTGCTGTTAGATCACAATTCTAAAGAATTACTAGTATTACAGAACACGAAAAAACACAAATTTCAGACTGACAAGCAACAAACCACTTCTTAACAAACTTCATAATTTAAAACAAGTGGAATGCCTCCTTAGAAAGACGAAACATGCTAAAGGTTCATCAGCTGCGTTGGGAAAAAAACCCAAACAATACTACCAGAGTTTTGTTCATTAAAAATATTTTTAACATCACTTGAACAAGATTTCTTATACATGGGTAGAATGATCACTCAGTCTCAAAGGGCTGGAGGTGAGTCTTAGATGAAGTGGCTTCTCCTGAACATATAATTCAAGTAGAGAAGGGACAGTAATAAACAGCTGAAGTCCTTTCCAAGAACTTCATCAAGACAGGAAACCAAAATCCATCGGACAGTTTGCTGCATACTACTACTCATTGTTTCATCATTCCAAAAGAGCAGTATTGCAGGAAGCTGAGATGGGCACACACCAAACTGTGTATGGAACTAAAACACGATGTCTTACACCACTCCCACAGTTATCTTTGGATGTAGAAGGAACGATCTGGATCCTTTGCAAATGTGAAGTCATACATTAGAAGAGACACTGCAGTACTCCACACATCAGGAAATTTGTTTCAAATTGCATTACGTTCCCTTATTAAAGCAACCTGTTCTTGGAACACAACACAGTATCTAATGACGCACTCCTTAATCTGGGCCTCATACACATCCATTACCAAGAACTGTCTGGGAACATGGTAAGGAAAACAGTAAACACAAAGCTCATCTTTTTCTGCCAGTGGGGGAAAGCGAGCGATATGGGTCTGCTCCAAATACAAACTCAGTTCAGCCAGGCCTTCACAGAACAGATGTTGACAGAGACTGATACTGACGACCAAAGGTACTCCAGAATTTTTCAGAGTAAGTCTGCAGCAGCATCACGCTTGTTTTGTCATCTCGTTGAAATGCTCACCACGACTTCAAGCACAGACTGAAATCCATAAACTCATTTAATGACAGGTCCAGAAAAGCATTAACAAATTCTAACCTTTTGTGGTAGATCAGTCAGGTTCTCCTCTGAATCCTAATCCCTGATCCTAATTTGAAATATAATTAAGTTGTGATATTCAGAGAAACTTTATATAGATTGCTCAGATAAAAAAAAAAGGGAAAAAGGACAAATACAGGAACACTTTGCTGTCTGCTGCTCCTTCAACCACTGTGTCAAGCTTCAATTGCTGAGTGTTCAACGCTCTGCTCTGTTAACCATCATCAGGCTCACAGACAAACACCTGAGTTTGATGGATGGTAAAGCCATTTTCTCAGAAGTGCTAAGATAAGCAAAGATGATGCACGCAGGGGCTTAAATACTTAATTTCAAATACACACTGACAGTATACATGATGTAAATCTAATTAACTTTCTCACTGCCTCTTTAACAGTTATATTTTCATCATTGTCAACATCATCTTCAGGTTAATCTAAAACAATCAAGGATGAAGGACAGAGTAACAGGGAAACCATCGTGCACTTACTCTCACGAATTAAAAAGCTGAAATCTGTAAGAACTGTCATCCATTCCAAAAAGCCAGCATCTCTACTCTCTAACAGTGCTAATGATCTTGCTTCTGCCTCCCTATCCTTCATTTCTTCCTTCCTTGTCCCTGTCAACTCTGTGCACTTAAGTATCAAAAGGCATTTGCTCCCATCCATTATAGTAATTCTTACAAGAAAATGTGGTTGTCAACCTGCTGTATTACTAACCACATTTTTCAGGAGTTCAGAAGCAGCAGACAGCAGTGCACGACTTTATAATTGTCCAGCTTCATCAACAGCAAGAAATGCTACTTTCAAAAACACTTCAGGGTTGTTGACAAGTCAAATGGAAGAGACTCTGTATCAAAAATTTTGAAGTAATGCTATGAACAACCGTTTGCATTCATCCCAAACCTTTACCTCGCTGGCTTTCTTATTCTTTTTCTAAGTCCTCATTAGCATCCTTAATTTTAGAAGACTCGTGCCCTATAGCCAACAGCATGCAAAGATGCCTTCATCCATAGGAATATTATCCAGACAGGTGCTTTAAAAAGGAGTTCTCTGCAGTAGCTATCCTGGAAGCGTTCAACATGCTATAACTAAAGAGCAGCAAGGTTTCTTTCTTTCCTTGTTTCACAAACATGAATTATTCTGAAATAAAAGGTGGACAGTACACTGCTTCCAGAGCAGTTCCCTTGTGGTTGGAATAGCTATTGTGGCAAAATTTTCCTATGTGAACTAGACGCACACCAAGCTAGGCTGGTTCTAACCATCCAACAAATTTAAAACCGTATTTACTAATCAGAAGAGCATTTTGAAGTTCTAAGCAGGCCCAATGAATTATTTTAAGACATTCTTTGAAACAAAATTATACTTCTAGAATGATGCAGAAGAGCCAACAGGCTGTTCCTAACTTGATAAAGGAGTGAAACCAGCATAGTGCCCTGCAGGCTGTTGCAAAATACATATTCTCCATGAAAGATCTTGTCTGGATTACAAGACTGTTGCTCCTGCAGGCCATTTCCTATTCACTTGATAGAGAGATTTCCTGACCAGTCAGGAAGAAACTGGAATCCACAGGAACTCCTTCTACAAAAGACAACTTATGTACAAGTAGTAAGGTAAGTCAGAATTTGCACAGCTCAGTCCAGATTCTTCAGGAATCCTGTATTTATCCCGTATCTAAATGTAGATACATGCCAAACAACAGCAAAGAGATAAGAGATTTGCAGATATATTCTTTCTCAATACATCAATTCCCAATGTCTTCCAATACTTCACTTAAACATACCTCATGTAACTAGAAACGAGTACAGAACTTCTCTAAGTTAGTTCACAGAACTGTGGTA